AACAACAAATATTTGGTCTCTTAAGACAATGATTTTTAATGCATCATATTAATTGAATTTGATATATGTTTGTTTGAGAGATGGTATTGTTTAATTTCTACTCACGTATTTGATTTGTAAAAAAATAATAGCACATCCATTACATATTTTCTTAAATGTCATTTTTTTTTTATCTTTTTTTTATTCGCAAGGTAATTATAGATGTTTGATTGTAAATGTACAGAATTTTGCATTATGCAAGTAATAAAAAAAGAGAAGATTGGAGTTTTCTCTTCAGTTAATATGTTAAATCTGCATTAATGATGATATTTTTTTCTTATATTTACATTTCTGCTAATTATTTTGAATTCTTGCTCATTGTCAAGTTTGAGTTTGCTGGTATTTCTTTCACATGTTTCAGGATATCTGAATATTGTATTTTTCTTTAACATTCTTGTTCATCCTCAGCTATTTTTTTTGTTTTCCAAAATGATTATTTTCTCATATCAAATAGAAACCAGATCAACAAAGTATAGCCTTCGGCTACCTCTATCTGTCACACTTTTGTTTCCGTGATAATTCTCTAGAAACCTTTGAAAGCCTATTAGCGTTTGCAAAATTAACACAACAGCCCCCTATGGCCTTAAGAACATCCCTATTGATTTTGATATCAAAATGTGAAAGTCATAAATCTAAAAAGTCTCTTTTTGACTAACACCTTTCTTTGCTTACGATATCTCGAGAAGCCTTTGAATTAAATGTATATCACAACTCCAATGGCCGACAGTTCCTTATTCATTTTTAGACGAAAAAGTAAAATCTCAAAGTCGTAAATGTATACATTCTGCTTGGGTCTAATATATTCGTTTCCGGGGGTTATATCAAAAGGGTTAGGAGCTTTTACAATGTTATTTTTTTATACCACAAGGCCCTGCTTGTTCATCACAGATTCTCCTGTCCCATTTTTATCTGTTTGTTTTGTTTTTTCCATGTTTTTATAGCAAAGTCAAATTTGTTGGCATTAATCTGACTAAGATGAATTTCAACATATATAGTTAAAACGTGACTTGTTGGTATATGCTGTATGATTGATTCTAACTTTGAGTGTGACAGGTTCGAATCCTGTACGATCACGTATTTTGTCTCAATTTACTAGATGGCATTATTCAACATACATTTAATGATGTCAGGTGTAACTTTCTCTTTAAACCATTATTACAATGTGAAAAATATTTTATACGAAGAAAATCTTCTGTACACGTATTAAGGAATAAGCAATAAAATTAATATATCCATATTGCAGTTTTCTTTTTGAATTTTTTAAATCTAATAAAATATGATTGTTCAAATTCATTTTTATTGTTGGGAATATTAAACATATTTAAAACGGACGTAAAATTTTAGAGAATATCTTCCTGGATTAGAAGCTACGGATAAAAGTTAGATTACCACTTTTAAATTTAAATTAAACCCTAGTTCCTCTAAAATATAGAAAGAAAGCCTTACAAAAAAATAATGTTACCTGCTTTGTCAGCTGGGACAAGTACTGCTGATCAAGTAATATATCTATATATTTCTGTTTTCCATTTGCATTATTCAATACAGAAGGAAAGTTCGTTTTCATATTGCCCCTCAATAGCTTAAAACAATATTTTAACATACTTCTCAAAAAAATTTGTTTATTCTTACAACAAAGTATCAATGTTTTTTTTTTCAAATATAGTTCAATTTCCAACAGAATTAATAATATTCATAAAATTATGACGTCAATTATTTTTAAGACAGGATTAATATAAAAACATATTTAAATGTTATGTACTGTAATTTTTGGTTGATTTTGATATTTTATATTTTGGGGTTAAAGAGGAGTCCACATGATTATCGAGGGAAGGCTATACTTTTAACAAAATAGAAAGATAATTCAAGCGACGTTTTATGCTAGAAAATAAGGTGATTGAACAGGAAATGATTTGTAACTGTACTGCAATTGAAACCTGATATGTTTTTTTTCCTTCTTCAAATACTCCATCTACTTATTCATACAGTAGCAATGTATATGTGTAGACATTATGTACGTCAAAACTAAGAGCCGAATCTTTTATCTAAATGCCGTACATTTCTCTAAAGATAAATGGGGGATATTCAATGTTTTGTATTTGAATATGAAATTACTTCACGAGCGAAACAGAATTTTTTTATATTTTCACAAGTGCTTCCTTTTTGTGATTGAATATGGATATCATTATACTCTTGAAGCAGGATTTTTTGTTTTATATTTTCACGAATGCTTCCTTCTGTTTATTACATTTTCTTTGATTTCCCCTTTGCATACATCTTTTTGTAATGCAGTCTCAGGCGACATGACGCCACGGTTTAGCGGTTAAAAAGCCGTAGGTAAGTGAGAAACATTGTAAACATGGATTTTAGCAAGGTATATGGAAAACTTTTGCAGTTCTTTTCTCTGTAAGAATTGTATATTAACTCGTTCTCAGGCTTTTCTCTTTTACCAGGCACAGGAATATTTTTTACAAGACTCTTTGATATGGGAAGGGATATCAAGTGTTTTTTTTACGCATTCTGGATTCTTCATTTAGAAATCACTTTAGTTAAAATTGTCAAGACTTTGAGCGGTCTAGTTTAAGGTCGTCATTTCCTTTCTCACATCTATGTTCTTCAATGGGAATGGCAAATACGTTTCACATTCTAATCTGGATAGAGATCGGCATATTTTGTTTTCTCCGCCATATCATGTTATCCCAGTCAGAGGACCAAATGCGCCTATATTTCGAAGAGTTTCAGTAATGGAAATAGAAAGTATTATAAATTGAGAGGTATTTTTTTCATTTTCATATGTATTATGTACACAAGCAGTCTTGGACTGTATTAAATAGATTATACGTTTTTTTTTAGTTCGAAGAGCATATCACACAGTCAGTGTGGTTTTATCATCATGAGCGTCCCTATTATATTTCTACCATTGTTGAATGTAGGATACCATAGACTTTGTGAGGAAGACAACGGACCATTAAGGAAGCCCCGGTAGCAGGTGTTAAACCACCAGCCTCCTCCGTAGTGAGCAGCACAATTAAATCCCTTGCCTCTGTCGTAATCTCTGTCAAAAGTGCTGAATGACATTCCAGAGAGGTTACCAAAAGACCAATCAGACTTCAACATGCTGTCACCTATAAAAATTTCAGACAATGACAGTTAATTCTGTGTATACCATTCTAATTTGAACATTGAGGAAAATTATGAGGTATTGTTAATACCTGGAAATGACAATCCGAATTTCTCCAGATTTATAATTAATTATGTTTCATTTAAATCTCTCTCTCCCTCTCTCTCTCTCTCTCTGTTATAATGATCACTGATCAAACATTCTACTAATTACATACCTAAATTTCCAGTAGCTGGCCCTCCTAGAAAAAGTTGGTATCTGTTATCCTCATTGGAAACAGAGAACTGACGATATATTTCATGCAAAGTACTACCATTCCGTAGTGTAATAGAGACGTAGAGGGAGGAGTTCCTTCCCTTCGTAAGCTGATGAATCACGTCATTTCCTTAAATATGGTATTGATTGAGTTAGATATATATGTATTATGTTGAAACTACTACATGTTGAGTAAAAAAATAATTAATGGAGTTAATTAATTAGTTTGACATTTAATCCGACCCTTTAAATTAGAACATTATGAACATTTAAAGTTTTCTAATATCCATGAGGAAAAAATAGAAATTAACCCCTCAAAAAAGGGCATGGTCTTACATTTATACGTCATTTAAGACGCTGGATATTTCTATTGAACTAGTAATAAATTTGCTAGCTCCAAAGCATGCAGTTTGATATCAAAATAATTGAAATATTTAAAATCTTTAAGAAGAGCACATTACTATGATATAGGTTGTTTCTATTTAAACTTTCTTATAAATGAGTAGCTGTCCCGTGGGGATCCGGGTTAGAATAGGTCCTCAGTACCCACTTGCTTGTCGTAAAAGGCGACTAAATGGGGCGGTCCTTCGGGTGATACCGTATAAACCGAGGCCCCGTGTCACAGCAGGTGTGGCACGATAAAGATCCCTCCCTGCTCAAAGGCCGTAAGTGCCGAGCATAGGCCTAAATTTGCAGCCCTTCACCAGCAATGCTGACGTCTCCATATCAGTGAAATATTCTGGAGAGGGGCGTTAAACAGTACACAATCATTCAATCATAAATGAGTTTTTAATTAATAGCTTTACATGTTTTTCTTCATTTAAAAAGGCGCTGTCTATTTCTTGCCACAATTGAATACAGAATAACTGAAAAAGTCTCAACTGACATAGATTTTTTCTTGTTTTGTGGGAAAAATAAATAGTTTGGGTTCATTTTTGAACACTCCACACTAGAAAAATGCGGGATACTTGCTGTAAAACTTAACGCGTTACATGTGTAAAATACCTTTTATTGCTTAGTTAAATTCTATATTTTACCCCAAAAAAAGTATATGTTATTTTAAGACTTGACTAGGGTAACCTATCAAAACCTATCCAGTCATACCAAAATCACACATATTGCGAGTAATATTTCTAAAATCAAGGACATTTATAAGTAAGATAATAAAATATAAATAAGACACCAACATCGCGCGTATGGTCTCTATGATCAAATGTAAATAAGTATTTACCGATCCAATATGAGTCATTATGATTTCCGAAACCTTTTTTATACTCCGTCCATTTCTTCTTAAAACTCATTGAATCATTCAACCTTTTCTGTATTGCCTAGGAATAGTCAACAAAAATGAACATATATTCAAGTCCGAGACATGAAACAAGTTAAATATGTTTCAATTACTTTTCTTATATTATTTTATAGTCAAATTCTAATAGTATTTCAAGAAAAGTAATAAAGATAGAGAGAGGGGGAGAGAGAGAATAAAACCTTACTATTCAACCTCCGTTTTCAGTCACAATGTAACAGTTTACGTTGGCCTGAGAGAGAGAGAGAGAGAGAGAGAGAGAGAGAGAGAGAGAGATCTTACTGTCCACCCTCCGCCTTCGGTCACCATATCACAAAACACACTGACCATGGTCTCGTTACCGAAAGCGTTTATATCGTAGACACCAGATTGTGATTGTCCATTTATATATAGGTCCTTACAATCTCTATTTAGTTTGGAACCTATATAAAAAAACAAAATGATAATTCTAACTATATTAGAAAATACGTTGGTTTCGTGTGCCAATAAAGATTGATTGAGTGATTGATTGTATATTGTTTAACATCCCTCACTCATATGGAGACGTCTCCGTATGCCGGTGAAGGGCTTTAAATTTTGACCTTCACTCAGTACTCAGGGCCATTGAGTAGTGAGGGATCTTTATCTTGCCAACGCCTGACACTGGGCCTCTGTTTTTAAGGTCTCATCCGAAGGACCCGCAACTTTCACTTTAATAGGCTGAGCGCATTGCCAAAGAACAGTTGCTACCCATTTTTTATCGACTTAGGTCAGTGGCAGCCGAGATACACACTCACGACCTCCCGATCACGGAGCGAGCGCATGAACTACCGACTGAGCTACCGTGAACTGTACCAATAAAGAAGATTTGAGGATAAATTTTACCCTTATTATCAATAAAATAGAAGAAGACATCAAACCAAAAAAAAGTGTCTCTATCTTTTTAAACCGTTTTTGAAGAACTTGTGACAGTCATGGAATAGATACAGGTTCCACCAAAAAGAGAAAATCATTATTATGTATTCTATTTCGGTTACTGCAAAAATCAACGATATACACTGTTATTTTTTTTCCAATTAATCACATAAATCTTCGTCACATTATCGATAGTTATTTAAATAGTATGTTTGATATCCAGTGTTATAATCGATACAATCTTCGATCTGAATGTAACACTTTTATTGAATGATTTACCTGTATGCATTAAAATGTCTCTAACACTCAATGCTCTCAAGCACCGTGTTTATAGATATGTACAGCAATGTTGCAAAAACTTTATTGATTGATTGCATAGATTTGTAAATATAAATATTTTGAGTTTGTCCACAGAAGGCCCCGGGAAAGAATAGCTCTTTCACTGATCGGGTATCCTTTCTTTAAAAAAATACTATCATTATTCTAAATCGCTTTCACACTATTACCTGCCATCACTAGAAAAAGAATAAGGAAGCATTTGATTAAGACATAAATTGGTGTAGAAAAATTTACATTGGGTCTTTGAATCAATGAGATACAAATGAAGGAAAATAGTATTCAAATGTGACGTCATAAGACACGTATGTTTACGTCTAAACCTAGCTTCTGTATTTCTTTATAATATAAACCAAAAACTATTCGACATAGTAGAACAGAAGTAATCTCCACATGGTCGCCATTGTTGGAAAAATATACCCCTTACTTCCTCCGACGCGACTTTTTCATTTAATTAACGGTCCACATATTGAACAGTTAGGTTTTGTTATTAATGTGTGGAGTTGAAAATTTGGAGAGAGAGAGAGAGAGAGAGAGAGAGAGAGAGCATTACCCTTTTCCAACGTTGGCTCCTCTGTTGTCTTATTAAGGTGCTGATATATATCTGTTATATTTTCATTTAGAATTTTAAACTTTTGATGAAGTTCCTGAAACCTTTTCTGACAATTTTTTATAGTACTCCTGTCCTCCTTCCTTTGAATGTCGATGTCTCTTTTTAACGATTCTATGGAGTTCTGTAGCGTTTTGTCATTTCTAAGAAAATCAATCTCTTTTTTCAAGGTTTCTACCGTCTGGTATACGGTGTTGTTCTGACTTAAAGCATCAATCCGTCTTTCCAATATTTTCATCTTCTGTGCTATAGTATCGTTTTCACGTAGGATTGCAACTTGTCTTTTCAATGTTTCTACTGTTTGCTCTAAAATGCTGTTCTGACTTAACTTATCGATACGTTTTTTCAATGTTTCCATGATCTGCGCTAAATTATCATCTCGACATTTGGTAGCAACTTGTCTTTTTAACGTTTCTATCGTCTGCTGTACCATTGTGACTGTCGTTTTTGTAGACGCCACACTTCGCTTCACAGAGCTAACGTCGTCCTTAACTGCTTTGACATCCTTGACCACAGCTAAACGAATGAGAGTTTCTTGGTTGATAATCTGCCGAAGAACTTTGATTTCCTTCATACGTCTTTTATTGAACCAAACAGTGGAGTTGTAATCACATATGCAGATCGTGCAAGAAATTGTCATAGAAATAATAACGGGAATGAAAACATTCATTTTTAAACAAAGATGTGAACTGACCAGATCAAAATGGTACAATATGCATAACAAAAGACAAAGTGTAAGTTTTATAGAGATATACATGGGAATTACCTTCAAATTAAACACAGATGGAGGAATCAAATGGCAGATTTGAAAAATTGCATGACTAAAGCAATCAAGCCATTTAATGTAGAACATATAAATAATGGACGTTCATCTATCCTGCGGTACATTGTCAAATCATTAATTACAAGATGTACTTGTCATTGAATTCTTTCAGGTAAATTTTGAGGATTGTTCAATAAATAATTTCATTTGTGCTTGGAAAGAATAAAAAAAAAACGCTTTTCAATGAATGTCACAATGATTTCAATTAAATATTCCCTTGTTTTAAATAAAACACAAGTCAAAGGTTGAGAGATCTTGCGAATATTTTTGGAGTGACAAAGCATTAACTCTCTGTCTATCCAAAAAAATCCTTTACTCTTCATGGCCTGTGGATTCGGACGTTGTAATGAATCATTGAATGCAGTAGATTCTTGAATCCTTCTTTGCATAAACCTTTTGATTTTTTTTGCAAAAAAATTGCTTTTTAGACTTCTCCAGAAATTTATCTGCCCTCCAAATAAGATTTTTGAATAACAAGACCACTACTGTTTAAGAAAATAGCATATGTTTTATACTTTTATTCTCAGACCTTTGCTGTTTTGTCAAGTGCATATCATTGTAAAAATTTTTGTGGGGTTTAGAGCAATGGGTTCAACTCCAATTTTCAACTACACACATTAATAACAAAACCTATAATTTCAGGCAAACTTGGGTAAATGCATTCTTTTTTATTTTTCAAGATTATTGTTTTAAACATTAATTCTTTTTTCCTCGCGGTCGTTTTCACTCATTTTTAAAACATAGGGCGAGGTTTGAGTATTAAGCTTTTTTACTGTTTAATGTTTCATTAAAAAGTTTGAACTACCCCATAATGGTGACGATCCAAAATCATATGTGTCCAACAGTCAATCAACATAATCTGTGAATTTTTTTTCAATTTTCGCAAACAATATATTGGTTGTTGTAAATCCTTTTCCCCAAAGACGATACCCATTTTGATGCCTATTTTATAATTTTTCTTAATTGGAATCCACCTGCTCACGTTTTGTGGAAACAACGGTATGTCCAAGCGGCACAACATAGAATGTTAGAGAAAGAAACTCCTTTCTGACGCCATTTCAACACATTAATTGTTTGACATTTCAAAAAAAAAATATAGATTAAAATTATAAAATTTCATAGAACTTGCCGAATATGGGGAGAACATTGAAAATTTTACGTTATAATTGTGCAAAACTACATTAGTGAATTGACGGCTTTTTATGACAAATGCTTATATAAAAAAAATCTAAGTAACACTTAGGTAGAAAAAAAACGTAATCTTGGAAGTTGTGTCGCTTGGACATACCGTTGTTTTAAAAAAACCATCAACAATTTATTTTTAAAAAAGATAAAAATGATACATAGTTTATTAAATAAGTAAAAAAAAAATATGCTTATTAAACGTTAAAAAAATCATTGATGTATCTTAAGCTGTTTTAATTTTATGGCGCTAGTCCACGAACTTTTTAAACAACCTTCGTATATATTTTATAGCATGAGGCATAATCAAAAAAAATTAAGACAACTGTTATGAAATCAGTTTATGATTCAATTTATCTTACTTTTCTCTGTATGAACTTTGTATTTCTACATAGAGATATATCTGTTTATTTTCAAATGAATATGTGTACTTCAACTTTCGTAACCAATTTACCTTTTAAATGTACGTTTAAGGATGATATGGTCAGTATATACATGTATAAGCCTTCAAGGGAATCGTATAAATGCGACTATATTATTAACTAATGTTCTCTCAAACTTATGCTTATGTTCTTTTTATGACTTAGATTTAGTTTATGTATTTCGGTTTTTCTTCATTTCATGTGTTTAAAAGAAACTATTCTAATTATTTGTTTTAAATTGTAAAATAAATTTGTTGAATAGAAAAAAAAATATTGAAATACAAGGGTCATTCAAAAAGTTTTTTTTCCTTTTTGGGATAAATAAAGATATAACATAATTTGCTTTCTTTTATTTCATTCCTTCAAAATATTCCCCTTTAACATGTATACCTTTTTTCACCCTAGAAAGCCATCCTTGTATAATTTCTATATTCCTCTGTAGTCAAACCCTTTACAAACTAATGATTAGCAGATCTAAGTAATGATCTACAGTCATGGCGTCTTCCAGCTAAGTATCATTTAAGTTTCGGTAAACTTTTGGCAATATCTGGACGCTTTCCAATATTTTTTACTTCTTTTGCCGCTGAAAATTATACAGAATCGTTCCCATTTTCACTACCATGTCTTCAGAACGACAGACTTTTAGATCTTACCCCCCCCCCCCCCCCAGAATGTTGTTAACATTCAGTCGACATATTTCATTGTTGCAGTCAGTTTGCAAATTTCTAATTTCCGTGCAAAATTAACAATATTGCCCAATTTTATGTGATGTGAAAACAATAAGAATTTCCTGAGAATCCCTTACAAAAAAATACTATAGTAAACAATAGTTAACTATAGTACCAAAGTTAAAACTTTGGAACTTTAATTTACTATAGTGAAAACCTTGGAACTTTGATTAACTGTATTAAAAACTTTGGAATTTTGATTTACTATAGTGAAAACTTTTGAACTTGGATTTACTATAGTAAAAACTTTGGAACTTTGATTTACTATAGTAATAACTTTGGAACTTTGATTTACTATAGTGAAAACTTTGGAACTTGGATTTACTATAGTAAAAACTTTGTAACT